AAGGAAACACCATTATGAGCAATTCTAACCTTCATGCCTTATCCTCGCCTAAATCAGCGATGGACACGATTCAAGGTAATAGCTGTTTTGTTACTAAATATAAAAAAAAGAAATTCCTTAATATTAACTACTCTTTCACTCACCTTAGATTTGGAACTCTATCCGAAAGATGGCAGTGAAGAACGAGACAGGACAAGAGATTTACGACAAATTCCTTCTACCATATGCGTAAGTCTCAAAGACTTTTGTTTCTTTTATGTATAGATGTTGATGTTTGCCCTTTGATACACAGCAGGACGAACAACCAATCTCTTTTTCCAATGGAAATCAGCAGATTGCCAGAACCAAAGACAATAACCACTGTGGATGGGACAGTCATAACAACCATAATCACCCCATGGGATGCCATCACCCATCTTTATACAATCAACTTCCAGTCAAAAAACAAAACGTACCAGAAACAGTTGACCTTCCTTCTTCAGCACCTCCATCAGATTGCGAGGTGGTTTACTGTACTGGACCCCACCCGCAATTGTCCATCGACAGTGAATGTGACCTGGAAGGTACACAAGGAAAAAATTGTCAATGCAGTTTTTGGAGTCTCAGTCACAGCCCCCAAGAAAAAGCAGAGAAAACGCTTCGCCAAAATCAGACAAGAGAACAACAGACATCTTTTCCCTCGAGAGAATGGGAAAGTGGTTCCAGAAACTTGGGGGTTCGGGAACTGTGCAGAAACGAACCCTTGGACACTTCTATCTCGATGGAGGCCAGGCCTTCCATTCAAATCTCACACAGTATCGACTCGGGAAAGAGTATTGAAGCCACCTTGCAACAATTGCCAGGAGTGTCTAAAGTGGTTGTTGAGCAGGGAGAAGGAGAAGAAGTCTCAGAATTGATCGAAAAATTGAAGAATGATCGTTTCGGATTTCACCCAACCAAGAAGAAAAACTTATTAAGCCCATATGCTATAGCAGACTTGGAAGAGGAGTTCGGTATCACCGGCGCTGTCCCTATGTTTGCAGATCATTCAGGATCAGTTGTTTGGATGTTAGATGATCATGGGATCATGTACCAATGGAACGATATGGAACGAAGCGTGGAATACTTGGGAAGTAATCTGAGGGAGGGTCTTGCAAACTACCTCTACCATCCAGAGAATATATATGCTGTAGAGGATGGCAAGCTGGTATCTGTAGAAGAAATCAACCGCCAGTTAGAAGAAGAGTCTTTAGGGCCAGTAGAAGTGTTATGGGACAAATCTGCAGAGAAATCTGTGAACCAATCTGCGAAGAAAAGACATAAGAGGTTGAAGAAGAAGA